TATGTATGTAATATACTTCGATTATATGACATGTGTATAATCTAAGCTCACCGTGTTTAGATGTACCTCGAATCATCTGTTATTTGAAAGTTGAAACTCATAACTGGTGCAAAGTGGTTGTCACCACATGATAATTGTTTAAGTTTAGTGTTAGTATGCATGTATTTAAGTACTAAATTTTACCTAATGAATGCATATTGTTATTATATTCATAGCCACCGGTAAATGGGAGAAGCTGGAGTGTCGGGGCGACCCTCCCCCCTCTCTGCAGGAACACAGCGCCACGGCGCACGAGAACAAGCTGTATGTATTCGGAGGCGAAGCCGGTGCCCTCTCCAACGAGACTCCACTCTGGATATATGACACAGAGGTACACAGAGCTTGCCAACACAACCTCATGATGCCTAGTGCATTCAACTAGGTCATCGTGTAACTGGCTAACTTTTTCCATAACAATTTATCATTTTGTACCTTTAACGCCGTACCTATTAAGTAGGTACCTACTTATAGTTCATAATATGAGCTCGCGTGCACAAGTAGCTGCTGTCGCAGTGCACTCATTCGATTAATTTAGAGTCAAGTTAAGAGACATAATAATGTCTGTGCTTTACCTAAGTAACATTTAGATCTGCCTACGTGACGAAACGTTGTAATAAGTATCTACGGATACTGCAGCACCTGTGGTCTCAGGTACCTACTGCATTATTAGCAGTACCTAACCAAGCAAATGTTTAATTTGGTATATTTAAATAGTTGTATAAATGAAATGTTCCAGACACAAGTATGGCGCAAGCTGCCGGGTCAGTCGAACTACGCGAGCACACTGAGACGGCGCAGTCCGCGGGACGCCCGGGGCGCCGCGCTCGGGCCGCGCGGCCGCCGTGGACACTCTGCGCATGCACTCAAAGACTGCCTGCTCATATACGGTGGATACAAGGACCTCCGGGGCTCGACACACGAACTCTGGGCGTTCCATTATGGTGAGCAGAAATCTGAAGTAAAAAATTCAGGAGATGCCTGCAAAAAAGAATTGTGTCCCCTCATAAGTGCGTGGGAGTTTACCTAGCCTTTAGAGAGAGTAAAACACACATATTGTAATGTATGACTTGCAGAATCGGAGTCGTGGCACCAGGTGCGGACGGCGAGCCCGGGCCCGGCGCGACACCGGCACGCGGCCGCGCTGCATGACAACCGTCTGTACGTGCACGGCGGACAGTGCGACCTGCGGGACTGCGCCGACCTCTGGTACTACGACACCAGTGAGTACCACACCAGGAACTAACCACTGCAGGACTTTCTAAATAAATTTACATTATTGTAAAAAAAAACTAGGTCATGTTACACTGTGTCGTGTTGCCAGTGTCCCGCGTATGGAGCCAGGTGCGCACGCCCGCCAAGCTGGCGCCGAGCGCACGCAGCGGCCACGCGGGGCTGCGCGCCGGCGCGCATCTATATATCTTCGGCGGCGAGACACACGGACACTCCACCAACGAGCTCTGGAGGTTCCACTTTGGTAACGTAAAATCCTAATTTGTAGATTAATAAAAAATATACCTACGCGTACACGTCGGTATTTACAAATGAAAATAATGATATAGTCTAATATTATTACAGCCACAGAAACATGGGAGCGAATAGTTCAGAGTCTGAAATGGCCGTCCCCTCGTGTAGACAGCTGCGCGCTGCTGATCCCCGCCGCCCCCCCGCGCGTGCGCTCGGCCCCCGCCAACAGGCTCGGCCCCAACAGGCACTCGATGAGCTCGCGCCCCGACCCACCCGCCAGCCTGCTCAAAGAGATCTCCAAGTTGTCCTCATTCCACATCCGGAGAGCTGCACGTTGCTCGTACAGCGTACTGGCCGGAGACAGAGACTCCACGGAGAGTCTCGTGCGACAGGAGGCCGCTGCATTGTCCAAATCACACTCCGCGTACATCATAGACAAGCGACAGCCCGCAGATGGCGACGAGAGCCCCCGAGAAGGCGATGTTCCCGAATTTAGATCTGAAATGTCTCGAGAGCCAATTTCAGTTCCCGACTTTGCTGATATGATTCTGCCCACACCAGTCTTATCTCCAGTAGAAGCTACTAAGCTGGTGTATCTCGATTCGGAAGATGAAGAAGATATGAAGCGTGAAATTAGTAACATGAAGAAAAAAGACGGGATCACATCAGTGAAGCTCGACGGCAAGGTCACGGTGGTCACGATCCCCAAGTCGGCATCCGTCCGGTTCACTAAGGACACGATAATCACTGACGAGGAGGACACAGAACTGTCCACGTCTGACTACGCGAGTGCGGAGCGCGTCAACAGACTCTCTGGTAATTCGTTAGGGTTCAGCAATCCTCATTATTTAGGACCTGACGTGAGAAATTTAGGAGCAGCGTTGACTCCAGATTCTGGTGTAGGTCCTGGAGATATTGAGCTGCAGGATTTAGGCGAGAGACGTGCCAGAAGTGTGCCAAGAAACGGCGAGACTCAATTGCATCTGCTGCTAGTGGGTGGCAAGGAGCCCCCCCACCTCGCCCTGCTCCAGAACCCGCTGTCCATGTGGACCTACAGGTTGTTGTAATTAGTAACTCGTTAGTTTAGATCTTCGTCCATTAGCGGAACTAGGGTCCTCCAGGGCCAGGGGCGTGCACAGAGATTTGAAGTAGGGTAGGCAGAAGGTATCACATGATTAAAAAAAATTTGGTCTACATTAATCTCGGAAAATAAAACTCCCGAAACATCATAATTTTGAGTAGGTAATTAGGTTTAGTAAGTATTTTATTAATTTGTATAAACAAATTGGGTACATAATTATTTTCAAACTATCCCTGTATAAAGTTGATCAACATAGATACCTAGGTATCTATTTTACAAATCTATTAACTAGGTACCTACTTTGGAGCGGCGAAGTACAAATGGTTACACATCAAGCTATGCGTCACCAGTATAAACTGACCGTTAAATGCATAGAAAAATCGTACAAACCGAGATCAAGATGACTGGATTTTAAAAACATTAATGAAATTGGTACCTACACAACCAGTGCTAACAAAACAAACTATACCTATCATCGCAAATCGTAGTTTATTAAAAGAAATAATAAAATTATTACCTTTTTTGAGTTACGCCTAGCCCGGACATACGACACACGCAAAATCGCCTTTGGAAATATTTTCGTTTCTTCTTCGAACGACAATAAGGACAACGCACTCATATTTAATTTATTGAACAACACAAATCACCAGCACAGAGCTCACAGCTATAATTTTACATAATTTTCGGTAAATTAACAGTTCATTTAAATTATAATTCATTACATTACAATTTATTCACTTGCACATAAAAACATAACCAAAACAAAATGGCCAAAAAAAACGTAAACAATAAGTTGACCAAAATTAATATATCTATTTTCAATCAACAAACGCTACGTTTTGTTGACTTCTTAAATTAGTCGGATAACGAAGAAGCAGTGCTTTTGCAGTTGTATAGAAATTACCAACCTAACAAAAAAAAAATCCAACATCAGCACGAGAAAACAAGCAAATTGTACCGGCTACGCATTAGTACATGCTTCCGCCACCATCACACAATAGCGAGGTGGCGGCGCCACTGGCGCAATGCTTCAATATATCGAAGAAAGTAGAAAGTGGTTGTAGTACTTCAATATTTTTTCGATAGATGGCGTTGGTGACCAGTTTTTCAAATTAAGTATCAATAAAATTGCGAAATCTCTGTATGATGTCAGTAAATATTCATGTCGAGTTTATGAGTGACACTATGTATTTGACTATGTAGGTTTACCATGATTTTGTAGGGTATGCAGTGCTTATTTGCATATATGGTGTGCACGCCACTGCCAGGGCTGAACGTAGCCGTCGATTTGGCGTTTCCAATCACATTTATTTTTGTGGCTCTAAAATATTTTAAGTAAATGATTTTTATATAAATAAGTTTAAAGTTGAGAATCATGTGAACGTGCTTTTCGAATTGTTGACGTCCAAATTATTGATGTAAAGAAAATACTTATGAGCTGAGGCTTAGTTTAGGTAGTTACAAGGTGTATGTACCTCAGACTACGTGTTCGCATTTATACTAAAAGTACTTACTCAGACACAAGTAACGATAACGCGGAATATTTATAATTTTATATGATTATACACAATGTCCTCGACTCTTCCAAGAATGTCTCCCCAGTTAGTTAATCTGGTAGCCTGTCTGTCCACGTTACAGTTCTCTGTTCAAGCACTAGCACCATGTGATTCGTGTTGGTGCTGCGTTGTCGTTACTGTATTTGTCCGTCGTGTAGCTACTATACTATATGGGTACAATGAGTGCCAATTCAAGTATTCTTAGATGTAACCGACATTTTGATGAAGTAGCACAAATGTGAACTCCGAGCTTGTCTGGCAGCCACGTGCGATAACGATACCAACTATTATTGACACATGACCTATAAACTAATACACCTAATCCTTTAGTTAGTAAACAGGAATGATACGCCTCTGGTGTTACGGGTGTACAAGGGCGGCGCGGATTGTTTACCATCAGGTAATCCGTTTGCTCGTTTCCCAGCTTATCCTACAAAAAATAATGACCTATCTATATTATGTAATGTATACCAAAGTAGGTAATTCTGTAGTGCAGCTGAGCAGATACTTGATCTGTAAATAGTGACCTAGTACTGTATCGGAGGATCAAAAGCTGTGATATATTGTTTATCTTGCTCGACTACTATATGTACGAAATCGTATCGCACGCCTGCAGACCTTGTGCTGATTTATAATCTGTGGTATTAACAAGTAGTCTCCAATTAATATTATTTGTTGTTTTAAGTTTAAGTTTACATTCATGTCCATGCAATACGTTGTTTGTTATATCTCTTAAGTTTTTCCACGTTACTCAGTTGTTTTATATTTTTATTGTTTTTCTATATTATTATTAATTACTTGTTTTGTACTTAGAAGTTTAAACAGATTACAAATATTTTTTAGGAATATAAATTATGTTAAAATGAGATATTACCCGATATTATTTAGCATTTAGCATAGACGGTAATCATGCAACCTTCGGTCGGTCGAAAATGTTTATGAGAATATACAGTGTGGGCACAAACAAACTTCCACAGTGACTGAAAAGACAGTAGTCGGTCTACTGGTTCGACTACCTGTAGCTAAACCATGTGAATGTCACGACTGCCCTCTGACATCAGAGAATTTAATATTTTATAAATTACTACGTTATTAAACTTTGGACTGTGTTCTTCTTGGATGTAGAAAAACCTTTAACAAAAAAAAACTTGATGAGCCGTTTCTATTTTCTAAGATTAGGCAACATTATAAGGCAATGGACGTCAGGTGTGGCCAGGCACAAGTAAAGTAAAAATTTAGTACATTTTTAAGTACAAAATATTATCTAATTGTAGCGTAATTCGCTGTTCAATGCTCATGAATATAAGTCCCAGAGGACTTGAAACTGGTAGAACTTTTCTCCAATGTATAATAAATTATTTGTGCAATGGGCCCCGGCCGTACCTGCGTCCCTGCCAGTGGCCAGTCACTAGCTGACCCAGTACTGTACTGTGTAGTAGTTCCGGACTCGTAGCCTGTACTCGGGGAGTGCGCGCCGCGCGGAGCGTTGCTAAGACTGAGTAGTGTGTAGCGGTTACATTGCGTTAGGTACTGTACTCATGTCTCTCAAATTAATCACATAAATAAAAGCCACGACCGTCCGGGCATTTTCCAAACTTTATATGGTCAGCTGTCAGCACTCGTTGGTTTAGACTGAATTAAAAAATATATACATAAAGCATTCAAATCTCCGCCCTTTTAGGTGTTTTACACATACATACTGCGGTTGGCGAGCTCGTGACTACAGCCGCGACTATTTGATTTCGTGTGACAATTGCGATTGGTAGTGGCCAAATTTCTTATAAGAAACATTGTACCTACCTGCTCAATATGTCTGCTCGGATCGGCAGACTGTTGTGAATATGCTGTATTACCTGGCCAGGTCCCATTCGAGTACAATATTTGAAATGTTAATAAACGTAGCTATGTCCATGTCACTTTTTTATTTTAACCCTATCAACCCTAGTAGCTGCCGTTCCGTTTTATAATATTTTTGCGTAACCTATCTCACAATAGGAAACGTCGGCTTCGCCAAGGCTAAGCTTTATAATCTATTCATGTAACACATAACGTTTATTCACAAATAAAGTGCGTTAGAAATGAAACGACGCTACTTCATGTAAGTCACTTTATTCAGAAGGCTACAATCATTACATTAAGAATTCATATCATTACTACAGTAATAAAATTGTGGTTAGAGATATTACAACGGCAACAAATATATTAGACATACAAACGTATGAAATGTCAAACATTACATTGTGTCAATAAATCTGTGTGGAAACTAATAAACGATGAAAAACATAAAAATTGCTAAGTTATGTTCATTTGCAAAATATTGGCAGGAAAATAAATGAATAATAACCACTTATTTCATAGAGCTACATAATTCATTTGAATACAATAGGAAATGACATACATTCATAGAGATTAATATAATTTGATGAGGGTTTCCCCCTTTAATACATTTAGCAGCAGTAGCCGCGTAGTGGCGCGCTCGCCACTACTCCCCGCGGTCAGCCCCAACGCCCAATTGGATCACTTACAAATGTCTATAAACGTCATTGAATAATGCTAACGTTGAAAGTATAAATTGCAACAAACGTATGTACTGACTCAAATACACGGCGAGTCAAGCCGATGCATGCATGGACTATTGAAGTTACAAAGCAGTCGGACACTACGAGAGGACAGGTTTAGCAGAAAGTTTTGTTTTTGTTGTCCCGAATGGATAGTTTCAAGAGATACTCGTCTAGCATGGCGGCGTGCGACATGCCGGGCGCGGCGACGAGTGGCGGCGGCGGGGCGCGCCGCTACTGGCCCGCGCCCGCTCCCGCCCCCGCGCTCGCGCCCGAGGCCTAACTCATATGTTGCGCCCGCGCCCGCCCCCGCTCCCGCGCCCGCCCCCGCGCCCTCCGGGTACACGACGCCGAACAAGGACGCGCACGCTGCCTTGGCCGCCAACTTGCGCGCCTCCTTCTTGTTGGGGGCTGCAACGCAATACATACTCGCACTCACTAACCATTCACTTCACTATTTCTATGCAAAATTTCTAAGACTTGTGCTTTAAACCAGGTCAAAATAATAAAATGGTGTACCTTTTCCGATGTACGTGCTACCGTCGACCTCGACTCCCATGGTGAACAGCATGTTCTGTGGCCGGTCTCCCTCCACGGCCAGCTCGCGATACTCCATGTGGGGCCGCATGTACGTCAGTAGCATGCAGGGATGCATGTCGACTGCGTTGGCTGGCAGCTCCTTCGGCTTCTTGCCTTGCGACTCCTGCACACTCTCCGACCCCTGCGGGACATAGGGACTTAGCGACCCACGAGTGATTTACACACATATATAAAGAGTGGCAACACGATGGTCGCTACGTACCGAGAGCGCGGCGGGTTTGAGTTGTGGCACCTTGTGTCCCTCGTACTCCCACTCGGTGAACAGTTTGTGCAGCGCGAAGGACGCGAGCTGTATCATGGGCAGCGCGTCCTCGTCAGTGCTGCAGTCGCCACTGTTGGAACCTGCGACAATCATACAAATACTCCATTTCACATATTATAAGGCGTATAAAGGTGAGACAGTTGATGTCAATCGTTTTATAGTTACATCTTTGTAGAACATCGATAATAATAAATCACAAGTAGTACTGACCACTGTCACTGTTGATGACCTTGTTCATCTTCTTGATGATGAGATCTCGTATGGCTTGCTCGGCGGCCGCGTTGCGCGCCATCAGCTTGTTGTCACCTGCAACGTGCGCGTGTACTTAGTGCAAGTGTGAAGTGACCAATGTGTGTAGTCCGAGCGTCGTGTATAACGTGTGGGCGTACCGTATCCCTTGTAGTTGGTGCCATCCACGGTGAGGTCGGCGCAGAAACTGTGCGTGTTGGGAGCCTTGTAGTACTGGTTGTTGGAGGATGGCTCCACTTTGAATTGCTGTAAATTGTAAACGTAAACATTAACACAGATTGCCCCAGGATAGTAAGGTAAGGAGTTGAAGCAAGTCCAGGCTGGAGTACTCACGCTGACGCTGGCGACCTGTTCTGCGGGGAGGATCTCGTTGAGCACCATCAGTGCATTCTTGGGAGTCAATAGGCGCCGCAGGCTCTCGTTCTGACGACGTCGGCGCTCCTTGTTACTGACTTTTTTCACTGTAATCAAATTATTTTGAATCACAATCACGTCTCTCCACTCTGTATCATCAGTATTGAAATAAGTGATGCATGCTCTGCTCACCTCCTGGCAATTTGCTCTTCATCCAATGCGGCCGCGCAGGGGTCGCGTCATCAGTTTTGGGCGCCACGGGGTTGTCCGTCATGTTGACGTCATCATCTTTGGTCTGCTGATATAGTTTATAACAGATAATGCACAAGTACATGCGCTGCTCTAGTCGCTATTTGCGTGTACGTGACAAATCGTACAATACGTTGAAATAATTATGCATGAAATACTAACGGAAATCCCTTCTTGCTGATCTGGTCCCATTTCACTGCAGACTTGGGACATGAACATGTACTCATCAGTACTTATGAACCAACACTATAATTTGTACTTGTCATTTGTCTTTAGCGTGTGAAATAAAGTTATTTTCTTTAAATATAAAGTGGCGACACAGTACCCATCACAATATGAACATTATGTACCTCGCTCACTTGGACGGGCTGCAGATTTTGGTGTTGTTGCGCCTTCCGCTGAGGCTGAGGTGACACGTACGTCTATCGACATAACACACAATAAAACTCCGGGCATAACTAAGACTAAAAGCTTGTCGAAATAACCCGTACACCAGTATATACTTTCAAAACGAATCACTTCACTCCTATAACCCAAAGCGTTTCATTGTCAGGTCCTAATTGCAGTTTTTCAACATTGGTAGTGATGGACACCCATAGCTTGTGGGATGCAGATAGAATGCCGAGCACCGAGCACCAAAATCGCAGAAACAGTATGATGCGTGTCTTAGTACTCACTGATGACTAGACTAGTGCCTTGCGCCGCCGCTTCCCGTCGCCATCGGACCGCGGCCTGCCCGACACCACCCGGCGTCATACAGCCACGTAGGGGATGCGTTCCACCATCCACACACTCTCAGTCATACATCCACTCATAGCAAATATAATGGAAACAGCGAACTGCTGGCGAAAATGTTGTAAATGGAAATAGTATTTGAAATGCAATAAAGCCAAGAAAGGTCATATATTGAAGTGCGGCAGCCATATCTAATCATCTCGTACACGGTGATGGTGGGCTCACATCACCCATCAACATCCATATTCCTATCATGTCTGTCACCCCACAAAATTGCAACCTCCTCTAAACCCACTTGGGGCTCGCATGGGGTTTCGCATGTGGAATTTAAATAGTTACAATTTCAGAGGGTTGTCACATGTTAGAAATCTGGAGCAGCTTATGTCTAGTAAGTCTAGAGAATGCTGTATGGTTACGAATTGCATAATTCGTGACAATACTACTTTCTCAAACCACAGAGCTATCCTCTGAGAGTCTCACGTCGACATCTGACAAGCATGACAACATGTTGTAGTGCAAGCCGAGGTGGGACCAAACATCATAAGAGGCAATAAGCAAGTGATTACACTTGCATGTGTATCATATGATGCTGGGTATAGACGTGCAGGACTTGAGCCCAGTCAGAGGGTAGCTAAAGACTTCAAGTGGCCTGTAAGAACCAGGGGCGCGGCTCGCCAAGGCTCTGTGGTAACAGACATTATGATTTTTACAAATATTTTTTTTAGTTATTGTTACTTACTACCAGTGTTACATATTACAGTGGAACTCAATTACATAGAAATATCTACACTTGTAGCACTTTAAACAATTTTATAATAAGTATTATTATAGTGTACTTTATTTCAGTATTTTAAACAAACTTTGGAGGTAATAGGGTAGATGACAAATGTCCACCTGGTAAGTTACTTTAAAACATTAGACACATATCCTTTATCTGATGAAACACCGGCTCCTGGTATAAAACACATTACGCCCGCAACTTTCAACAGACAAGAGGATTTTTAATTTCTTCCGTTAACGAATACTTCCGACTACATAGTGATTTGAAATATTGTGTGATGTCCAACTATGTACATTTTATATGTAAAAATAACATTTTCACTCTAACTCCGAAACTTTGATTCATTTTATGTAAGTATTATTTTTTTGTATGACAAAATAAAAAAAATATGTTGGTAATATTATTGCATTACTTAATTTACGGATTACTTACATTTTTAATTTTTATAACCTGTCATCATCCCTATTAACTGACAGCAAAACTAAACTAAAAACTAAAATATAACTAATTATAGCAATATGAATAGTAACAAACAATGTGTACTGAATTATATTCTCAAAAATAAGTAAGTTACTTACCTCTGCTGCAGGAACAAACTGGCCCGGTGTGTTATAGCGCCCAGAGAATCTAGTGTTATCTGCCAATGACAGCAAAGTAAGGTTAATTAGTAAATGACATGTCACCTTTTCTTTATTTCTTTTCTTTACGTTAAAACAACTTGAATTCTGGTAACTCAGATCAGCTATAGGGATAATATTATTATAATTATGTCAGTGTTGAGCTGGTCAAAAACAATTCTTAATGAAACTATGTCCGGCTCCTACCAACAGTACAGATGAAAAGTGGAAAATCACTAAAATGTTAATTGTTTTTTTGCCTTAGTATGTAGAAAAGCATATTAGATACAAGATAAAACTGCTAACCTAAAGTAACACTTTTCAATAATTCTGAGACAGTTATAATAACGAAATATTGTCGCTGGGTCCCTGTAGGGGACTTTATATTTATCTATAATAATCTACTTCAGTGAAGAAATTAATCAATACTTGCGGCTCTGATCACTACATTCTGAAAAATCAATACCGCGCATGTTCTACTGCTGTTTATAATATTACCAGACAGATGAACGTACGACGTTTAAGGTTTAGTAATGCTCACACAATGACTATAATTAGTAATCACACCGGTCCTACCTACCAAATAACTACAGATGTATTTTAACTTACATTGTTTATTGTTGTAGGCCATTTTAATGATTTGCTGAAAGTTATGTTGTCGAGCACTTGTTTAAAATCTCTTTTAACTATTGCACTTAATTGCAATTACTTTCGTTAATCTAATCGCAGCGCAGACCACAATCACAAAATCAATTTCAACTATCGATATATTATTAATAAGGTAACAAACTAAGTAACAAACATGCAGTCGATCAACTAAAACGAATGTCAAAATTTACAAATGTCAGTCAGACACTGCCCGCTTGTCGCAAGCTTGCTGCTTGCTAATCGGAAGTCGGAATGAATGAAATGAATGAATGACCGACCATCGAATAACTGGTTTTTTTTCTAATGAGTAAAATGACCTAATTGTGAAAAGAAAACAATATAGATGAACCGTGAAGAAACTGGAAGCAACATTAATTCACAACTACACGGTATCAGTGGTAAGCACGACATGAGTAGTAGTGAACCATAGATGATAGAGAAAGTAGAGCTGTCGAGTGTCGCTGTCGACTGTCGTCGTTTTTTA